GCATGTCTATGTCAAATCTCGACTTCCTAGGTGCTAGGGGAGATAATTTAATCCACGCGTAAAAAAGTGGACCGCTAAATGTTTTGACGAGTGTAGTTGTTGATAAATTCCATGAGGAACATTTATATCATGAATTGACCTTGGAAAACTGGCTTGCTATATCCAGTAATAGAAAGAAGATGATGGCGGAGGATGCTATGGATAAGGTCAAACTCCTCTTTAAGGGTGGCGTCAAGCCTTCTGTCATTAGGAGTCTACTCCGTGACTCAAATTCAGGGTTTATAACAGCAAGAGACCTGTCGAATCTCAAGTAAGTTGTTATTTTATGCATCATCTTATGTTTCGTGAAGGCAGACTCTTGGAGTTTGGTGAAAGCTGCTCACTATTTGAGTTCACATATTTTTTTCCGGAACAGGATTAAATTTAAAAAGGAAAAGAATGGTGGAGCCTCTGAGACAGAATTGCTCATTAATGCATTGAAGAATCTTTTGGAGGAAGACCCTGGAGCAACCATATCCCTTACAAAATCTGATGCCGATGAACTTCTCTTCTTGTTTGTTCAAACTTCAAGCATGAGGGAAAACGTGGCCAAGTTTGGCTTGGTTATTATGTTAGACCACACCTATAAAATTAACAAAAACAAAATGCCAGTTGCTGTCTTCATGGTGATGGACGATGGTGGCAGTGGGCGTGTTGCTGGCTATGCCTTTGTCGCCAACGAGCTGCTCACAACTGTCTCTGCTGTGATGGCTGCATTCCGTGAAGCCATTACTGAAGAACTTGCACTGAAAGTGAAAACAATTATTATCGACAAGGATCAATCTGAAATTGGTGCGATTAGTGCTGTATTTCCTGATGCAGCCATTCAGCTCTGCTCATTCCATATCTCTAGAGTTCTCAATGATAAGACAAAAAAGGAGCCAGAGGCAAAGCCAATCATTGATCAGTTGAGAGGCACCATAAAGAACACTGAGTTCCAGAATCTTGTGAAACAGTTGGAAGAAAAATCCAGCCCAACTTTTTTCCAATATTTTGAGGAAAATTGGTTGAACTGTCCTCAAGCGTGGTGCAACCGAGACAAAATGAAGAGCATTAATTTTGGTAACACCACCACCAACAGAGTAGAGAACCATAACTCCAAAATTAAAATGGTATGTTTCATATAATTTAACAATTTTCAATCACTTGCAGCAGTAAATATGTTAGTTGCATTAATTTGAGTTTTGATGTTATACAGGTCCTTAATTGCCACTCCACTCTCTCTGAGGCATTAGAAAAACTTCTAGAGATTGTTAAGAACAAGGATGAGGATGTCCTTTACAGAGAAGTGATTGAAAACCTCAAGGACACGTACCTCACGAATAATACCAATCCAGTTCTGAAACAAATTCTTCAGGATCTCACCAGATTTGCTGCAAAACTGCAAATCTGGGAGCATGATTCTGCACCAGATGAAGAAGAAATGGCGTACTATGAGAGCACAGAGTCTGAATGCTGCTGCCTCCACTTCTGGAGCTTTGAGTTGCCATGCAGGCATATGTACCAGAAGAGGCGACAAGCAGGTTTGTAAAACATTAGTAAAGTATACGATAAATTTACCTCCTCAGTTTGCTGAATGTGTGAATACAAAACCTTTCCCTTCTGCGTGACAGGTTCCACTTTGCATAAAATTGAAGACTATGCTGAAATGTGGCGAAAGAGCAAAAGCCTTCAGCCCATTAGTGTTCCACAACCAGTGAAAAATTTCAGTGTAAGCTCACTGCCAGCTGTAAAGGCTAAGACAGCTGCCCAGAAATTTCATCTGGCACAACAAGTAACCAAAGAACTCTGCGCTATTATGGAGTTCTGCGGTACTGCTGTGTTTCCTGCTCGCCTTGAGATTTTGAGGGAACTACTAAAGTACTGGGCTGCTGGAACAGAAGTCAAAATTGTTCCACTCACAAGCGTTAAAGGTAAGAATTTTGTTAAATAATTCAGAATCTTTTGATTATTTCCTTGCTATCCGAGCTCACCCTTCCTCATATTGGTTTATGAAGGTGCTCCTACTGCTCAAATTGAGTTGGCCTCAGGAGTTGTTGGAGAGGAAATGATCAAAACCACTACAGCTGCTGAAGTTATATTCTTGGACAATGAAGTCTGTCATGGCTCTGAAATGATTGGTAAGCATTTTATTGCAGCAGAGCAAAATGTTTCTGTAAAAACCTTGGAATCACTTGAATTAATCAAAACACAATTTTCAGAAACTCACAAACTATACTCAGATGGAGAAGATGACGCTGCATCGCTTGTATTGACCAAAGGTCTGAACTTTGGGCAATTTAAACCAGACAAAACTTTTCTATTTTGAGTAATAATTTTAATTTTATGAAATTACAGATAAAGTAACCTTTCATAATGCCACACTGAATGACGGTGAAAACCTAAATAAAGAAACCTTTGATGGCGCAATGAATGATGGTGAGAACCTAGATGCAGAAGCCGTTGATGACGTATTGAGTGATGGTGAAAACCTAGATGCAGAACCCTCATTTGATGACACATTGAGTGATGATGAAAACACAATAAGTTTGGATTCAGCTCCAGTTCAAGAGACCTTCATTACTTTTGGCTCAAAAACAGGCGGTAAGTGTTTTTGAAACCGTTGTAGGAAAGCACAGATTTTTTTTTGCATTTAAAAAAATTCTATGCTATTGTTTGCATTAATGGAAACACAATTTGTAGAGACTCACTTGCTGGGCTCGGACGAAGATCACAATGCCCTTCATTTGCTCAAAGATAAGAATTCTGGGCAAGTAAAACGAGGCAAAGATACATTGAGTGATGCTGAAAATGTTTGTGGAAATACAAGTTCTTCAGCTCCAGTTGTAGTGGGATCCCCTGCTGGTGCCTTGGAAATATGCAGTAAGTTTTGTTTTGCAGTTGCAGCTGAAAAGCTGTAAAGTTTATACACATATACAAAATTAAACTGTACACTATTATTTGCAGACATCGGAACTGATAATGTTGGGGTCATCAGCACAATTTCTGAAAAAAGTACTGTTGCATCTGCACTTAATGAAAAAAATCTATTCAACTGGGATTTTACCAAAAATAACTGTGAGTATTTATCGAGGTTTGAAGCAGGACTAAACTTTCTTGTGCTTCACTTAATTTTACATGTAACTATTTTCAGGTCAAACGATGTCAACTTCATTTGTTGTCAAAACATTGCCAGGGAAAAGCTTTTTGCCTCTGCTATCAGTGAATGAAAATCAGAGTTGTAAGTAACTGTATATATTCCAGTATTGTTGCAAAAGCAGGAATTTTTCAGTGAGAAATTAATTTTTGAAACTATTTTCAGCTGAGAAAATTTCTAGCCAAGGACATGGAACAAGGGTTGTAGTTGAGCCTTCTCAATTGCAACTATTTTCAGATGCACAAATTTCTGGCCAGGAGCATCTAATAGGAGTTGAAGTTGAGTCATCTCAATCGAAACTATTTTCTGATGGACAAATTTCTGGCCCGGAGCATGTAATAGCAGTTGATGTTCAGTCTTCTCAATCGGAACTATTTTCTGATGAACAGATATCTGGCCAAGTACATGTAAGGGTCGAAGCTGAGCCTGCAGTGGTAAATAATGTTTTTACATGTGTGAAATATTTACTTGAAGTAAAATTATTTGCTAAAGCTTACTGGGATTCTGCTTAAGTGGTTTTCACCTGCTTCAGTGTTTCAAATTTCTTGCAGATCAACCGCTGGATATTCACAGCGTCAATGGCCATGGTTCATCACAAAATGAAGACCTATGTAAGAACTTAACTTTTATAAAGAAAAACAAAACAAAATATAAGGTTAGAGTGGTGCTAAATTTTCCTTGCCATTTTGTAATCTCTCATAATCCATTTTCCAGATCATTTACTTAATTGTGACGATGAGAATGAAAGTCTCAAAATGCTGGTGTCTTGCTTGGACATACCTGATGTTGATTCTCAACAAAGTAAACAAACTACTGCAGAGACACAGGCACAATGCACACCAACTCTTGCTCAAAGTGAAACACCACCTAATTGCTTCTGTGGAGTTCCTGCAGTGAGGTAAAAAAGGAACCCTTTGTGTCATGTTGAAATGTTAAAAGATATATCTAACAACATCTTCGTTTTCTTTTAAGGCGCACTGTAAGGAACCAGCCAAACATGCAATTTTTTGGATGCCCCAACTTTTTTGCTAAAGATTTCAAGAAATGTTCTTTCCGTCGATTCACCAAAGCCATCAATACAGGTAAACATTTTTGAAAGTTTCTTACGGAGTGAAATATTTTTGTTTATATTGATTAAATCTGTGTAATGTGATACTCTTATTTCATTTCTAGACCCAAATCTAGAATCCTTAAAAAATATGAAAATCCCAACAGTTAAAACTAAAGGCAGACCAAAGGGTATGGGGAAAACCACCCAAATTAGATTCCTCAAAGGTAATGTCTTGCATAATTGTGTGGTAACATTAGAGGGTTTCTTGAACTACTGAATAAGTTAATTGATTATTCTTTCCCTAGCAGGATCCACTGATAAACTTTCCATGGCTAAACCTGGTTAGAATCTTTTTACTATGACATTAAGTATTATAATACACTCAGAAACATTTAACAGTTATTTTCTTTCCCTTTTAGCTGGTGCCTACACTACTCCCTTCCAATCACGAAAAGTTAGGGGAGAGAAAATTTGTGACATGGATATCACGGACAATAGAGATGGTTCTTACAGGGTTGTTTCCCAAACCAATAAAGCCACTTCCTATGTCGTGACACAAAATTCGTGTACTTGCCCAGACCCGATAGAAGTTTGCAAGCACATCTACAAAGTTAGTCAACTAATTAATAAAGCAGGTGAGTTAAAATTGCTCATACTAATGGCAGCTATGCAGAGTGTATTTGCCCTAGATTACCTCAAAATTACATTTCCTGTTCATTTCTCCTTTTGCTCATGTGTACTTCTGAATATTGCAGATGTTTTGTCTGATGAACAAACACAAGATGATGTGGTCTGTCTGTCAGGAGATGAAATTAGTGGTAAGGTCACTGTATCTATTTTTCCTCTAAGACAACTTTTTTTGTGAACATTTGTTTGTATGTTAATTGACGATTTACTTTTAATGATTCAATTTATTTGCTGTTCGCAGCTCCAAAAGTCTCAATGTCACACAGTTCAAGTTTGCAAATTGTTTTTAGATGCATTTTAAAGGTAGTTTTGAAAATAATTTGTTAGTGTCCAAGCACACAAATTTCTTTCTTTTAAATAATGCAAAGAATTTTTGCTGTTTGTTGGTTCATCTAATTCTAAATCCTTAGAACAGAAGTTACAGACATAATAATAGTAATTCTAATTCTACAAACACAAAACACTCAAGGGAAAAGCCATAAGTCAAAGATTGATTTATCCCACTAGCTATCTTTAGACAGCTCTGTTGTTTCTTACATCAAGTTAGTCAAGCATTACTAACCACAGATCACAAATTATTTTGGTTTCAATTTTTGTTTCCATTGCACTTTCCACAACCAAAGTCTGTTCTTCTTAGCAACTTGATGTGTGTTAATCTATTGTACCCTGTGGACCGAGGACTTACCATTGGCTCTTAACATGAGTCTAAAAGAACATCCTTTCTTCCGGTGTGTTCTACGCAAGTATGTTGGTATAACTTTCGCTGTTGTGGATGTTGATGTTCCAAGTCTAAAACTGGTGTTGAGTCTTCTCTTACATTGTTGTCACCTGTTGCATCCAAAATTATTTCTTTTCGCTTTTTAGTTTCATTCTGCTGTCTGTTCAGAGTCATCTTCATTTTGTTGTTATGGTTGTTGAATCACCTGTAGAAAGCCATAGTGGCAACTTCTTTTGCCTGCCAATATCATTCCATTCTTGCAACTCTTCAGAATTATTGTATTACCTGTAAAGGTAATATAGCTTCTACTTCCTTTCGCAAGCAGGATTTTCTCTGTGGTGATTGTAGAGTTTTTTGAGCCACAAAGAATGGATCCCCACATTCTGTAGGTGGGATGAGATATTTTTTCCAGCTGTCATTCAACTTTGTTTTGGGACCAAAAATATTCTCCAACCACTCATTCATCACTGACAGCCCTCTAAAGCATAAAATATCTGTGATATACCACTCAATCTTTATGTGCAGCTTGCTTTGGACATCATCTTTCCTTTACCTTTTTTGTGGAGTCCTCGCAATTCCTGATCTAATCATCTTCCATTTGTCTAAGAGAATTAACTACAGACTTCAATAGATGCAACAGAGTGCAACTTGATTCAAAAACTATCTAACCAGTTTAAATGTGCTCATTTAAAAAAAATAATTTATATTTTTCTTTGCAATATTTCAGGTGAATCCTCCAAGAGGCGAGCCGATGATGATGGTGATCAGAATTTTGTCACACCAAAAAAATCACGTCATGGGAGAGTTCTTAGGAAACAAAAAGGATACACACCATAAAATATACAATTTTTAGATATTGACATTTGTGATGACTTTGTCATTCCATTTTAATATGTTTTTAGCACACATCTTTTAGCAAATGGAATTATTTTTGTATGTGTATTTTAACTTTTGGATCAGTTTTGGATAATTTTATTGTTTACAACTGGAAAAAAAAATTAAAGTTTGTTATTGTAAGATTTTGTGCATTCTTCTCTGACAGATTAAATCCTTTGTATGTCTTGTCAACAATTAATTACACACTAGCTTATGTTACTCACCTTTTCTGACAACTGTTTGGTTTCGTTATATTTTTGAACTCCTTTGACGTATGACCGACAGATTCAAACACGCTCAAAAAGCCAAAGCAAGACATCCTATCTAGAAATTCTTTGGAAATATGTTGAAAATTTATTTCACTTCTAATTTGTTATCTATCAGAAATACCCTCCGACACAAATACCTACATCATAGGTATCTCCCACCAAAAAATATTTGTAGACAGAACAAAAAGCCCTCACGTCTTGCATTTAGAAAAATATTTAAAAATACAAAAAGAAGCTA